CCTTGTTTACTTTGGTACGCATGATTTCCAATTAGACTGTCAGGATCTCGCCATCACAAACCTAGCCAGCTGCATTAGCAACAATAGGCGTAATCACTGAGGTAATTTCGTATGTTGCATCACCTAGGATAATTTTCCTGAATCTGCGACATCTCTGGCGTCAGATGGAGGTTTTCCTCGGTCAGCAACTCCGCGTTTACAAGACAACAATGCGGTCATTATCATCATCAATACACTAGGTGATGGTGACAAATACGGTTTGGCTAATGTCCCGCAATAGAAAAAATATACTAAAGTAACAGACTAGAGAAGAGCTCAAAAAGCAAATAATAATAGATTTGATTTCATCTTATGCATTTTGTATGAGAATTGGTGGGGGAATCTGAACGGGAAGGGGATGGACGAAAAACTCATAACACAAACACAATTGGGGCTGGCTCTTCCCTGTATCCAACCAGTGTTCATCGTCCTCCAGCCAGGCAATAAAAGTGCGCTAACCGACGTTAACTTCGAAGTGACGACCATTTCATTGCTTGGCCTTCCCTCCTATTCCATTTTGACCCCGGGCGCCGGTGGGCTGACATGCACAACACATGGCCCAGCCACCGGAGCCTGATGCGTGATATAATGATGCTGAGCGGTCCACTAGCTCTTCCTGCACCAAATACGCGACGCCGAACATACTCGTTGCTCACGCGGTGCTCCCACCAGACGTGTGCGAAGTTGCGTAAGTAGGGATGGCAGTACCTAAATAGCCTCTTTATCTCTGTCGACCTTATGGGTTATTTTTCACAATCGTATAGGTGGGTTGTACAGACGTTTGCATTGTAAACTCTGCACTTTAGAGCGAGGGTGATGTTACGATGCCGCCAATGGTTGCGTAGATAGGCGAAAGCGCCTCGAGCTTTCGTTATATGGCTTGTCTAATACATGCAGTTGTGCCTTCCACTTCTGTCAGCAGCGAATACATGCTCCCTATACCAGATGAACAAATATGCTGTGAGAATATGTTGCTCACGAAAAGGAAGGAGCTCAATCAACGAGACGCAATGAATAGGCCTGAGAGCAGAATACATGACCCAAGCGATATAACAAGCTCATTCGATTTAAATCAAGGGAGTTATATTTCCGAATCAAACATTCCGCACAAAAACATTGGACTACAGCGTGAACATACTGCGATTCTGCTCCGGTTTAAACGAATTAATATCAGCTTGTACTGGACCAAATTAGACACTACTGTGCTATTAGTATAGCCGTACCAAGCAAACTGGATAACAGTGGGATATCAGCCATATATGTGCACTAAGAATGGACACAGAAACGGCGTGCGCCACGGTGGAACGGTTGGTGCTCCGAGCTGAATCATATGCTTGATAATAATTGCCGGTATAATTAACTTCTTTTACACCTTGGGCTCTAACATTGGCATCGGGACCCACCGATGTAGATCATGACGACAGCTTGAGACGGACCAAAGAAGGAGTATGGCGATGTTTTTGTAGCACTACGTCGATGTGGCACAGGAATTCAAAATGAAGACCTACCGGACGAAACAAATGGCCTTGCGGTGTTTTCTCAAGTACATGGCGATGGTAGTCCTGGAGGCAGCGCGCAAAGTGCCTTGTCAGCTTGGAGTCAGTAGCCGCACAAGAGACGTTACTCTACTTATCCGACAGCGCAGAACACCACCAAGAGGCAATGCGGCAGAGCAAGATCGAGTACTTTGTGTTTACCATTCACATCCGGGGCTTGATGGGTCGAGCAGTGATTAAAGTAGATGGCGCCTCAAATCATCAACTACTGGTGCATCTGTTCCTGATCATTTTTTCACGGCAAGTCGCGGAGCTCATCTGGGGAGACCGGTTGCACGGTCATCGGCACAGTGCTAAGCTCATAGAGTGTTTCCGTCTGGTTTGTAGCGGGCTACCGCACAGTCATCGCCTTGTGTGCCTTGGTTACGTTTGACTCCCCAACTGGCCGGAATTCTACTGCTGTGCATGGCGAAGGCGTGTGGGACGCCTCCGTTAATGTAACGTGACTCCCGTGCACATGCCTCCCGGTCTTATTCCTTCATGTTTACATTGGGCATGGTGTGTGTGTGTGTGTGTGTGTGTATGTGTGGATGGAACTGTGAGTGGTGCAGCACAAGCCACCCATGGTCCCTCTGTAAACACAGTCCTCATGGAGCTGTCTCCAGTGTGAGAAGAGATGATTAACATCCGTAGATTGGATGTTATTTTTCCGGATATACAAAGCGCAGTGATTTTAGTTTGCAGCGAGTGACAAACACCCCGTCGTACTGTTTTTTAACAGACATTGGGGCTTTTATAAGGTTGCCAGGCGAAACTCCAGCACGTCCTGTGACACAGTCACCGAACTATTTGCTTTAACTTGGTAAACCCGAACCAGCCACTTTACAGTTGTTCGGCTAAGCAGCTTTAGATCTTCGAACGTGGCATTCACGTGGCAGGGTAATTGAATGTATGGACACTGTGAAAACGTAACCGCAGTTTCAACACTTATGGAAATGCCGTGGGAGCCAACCAAATGCAAGCGCATGCATTCGTACAATCGTTGTTAAGTGAACGCACATTGAGACATCACGAATCATTAGCAAGAACATTGCGAAGTGCGAGTGCCGAACGTAGTGTAGTAACGCCACATTACAACGAACATTATATCAAAAATTAGTGCCACTGTAAACAAATTCTGGCTGAGCGAATACGCTTGTTTTCGATGGATCTCATCAGTCTAATTAATCGCAACATATAACAGGGGTTAAAGCGGTCACATTACATCAACGGAACTAAGTGTCTAATTAATATCGGTGTGCGATCGCACTGCTTATGGTAAGATTGTGTACAGAACGGACTGTGTCCACTGCAGCTGGGACGCTTGGTCTTGTTTCTCTAGGCCCATAGGTCCTGATTATGGAGACGGATTGCGCTCAGCTATGTCGTCATTACTGGGTGGAATCTGCCTGCGCTCACGTCTCATCTGTTTATCTGGTAGAAGCGCTAAACTATCCCTCTTGCGTTGATGTGATATAGCATCAGGCTCATCACGGGTCTTTTCACACCAATATAGAGTCACGCTGGGCAATGTTCCCGGAGTCTTTTGGACGGTGTTCTGATCGTTTTCACTGTGTATTGCGAAATGGTCCAGAGGCCAGTCGATAGATCAGCGAGTAGCGTGAAAATTGGTTCTGGCGACGCCGTAGAGCAATACTGCTTTCGGGCACACAGGCAGGAGGCCCAAAGAAGGCGGCGCAGGTCAACGATCGTGTATTACCGTAATATTGGTCGCACTCGTTCAGACAAAACTAAGCGTCAGTACGTCGGAATGAGAAATACGACAAATGCAAACAGCCTGCGAATGCATCCTTGCAAGATGACAACGAGCGACGTCATTTGGTTAAATACCGTATTAATGGGACCATTTTCTCTGTTTTCTTGATCCTCGGCACAAAGCTAAACCAGTCAGTGTCTCTTCGTAGACCTCAAGTCCTGCTGTTTGATTTTCCCGTTGGCTCATATGAACATCCTGTAGAATGGCGTGGTGACATTGTTTTAGTGCGATTAATCGTCAGTCCCAAGTTACGCAGCGAGCGACCGAACTTGTTTTAGTCTTGTAACTGCTAAACCCTAAGTCACCCCATTCGGCCATTCGGTTGTCATTTAATTATGCGGCATTCGTAGCCTCAATGTGTACGGCGGATGTGCATTCTAACAGAATGCACTCTTTGACGGGATTGTGAGAAGCACAGGCGTGTAGCCGACGGTGAAGTTCAGTTGAGTACTTTTTGCATGTGTTGTTATTATGGCTTCGCAGAATCAACCTACACACATCTTCGCTCTTGGCCACTCGAATTGGACCAGCTATGCCGTTTGGTGGAGCGGTCACACTTGCCAGACTTGGATGCTTTCCCTAGCCATGTTGCGTAGTCCTGTAAAATTCCAAATTTCATCTGGCCACCTTTGGTAATCTCTGAGAAGGACAAGCTATATTCGTAGGAAAGATCCTTGTAAAAAATTTCCCTTTGTTGTTGGCGACGTATTTTGTTTGCTCATAAAACATCTCAATACACTAAATTCCTATCGTCCCTACTCAGATGAGAGTGTGCTTTATGGCAGATGTACTTTTACCACAGGCAATCACAAGTAAAGGCTGAAACAGCTGTGAAACAAACCGGGCTCGTTCTCCAAAATCCTGTTTACTAAGTCTCGTACCTGAGCTCTTGGAGGTACCTAACTCCCCTTTTCGTGATTGTAGCGTCAGCCAGTAGAGCAGCTGTCTAGCAGACGAACACATTCCACACATTGTGGCCTCAGTTCTCCATCAAGTTGGAAAGCGCGAACGTACAAAATCTTATGACTGAACCGAGGCACCCCCTTGTTCCCTGTACTGGGAATGGGACCGATTTGGCCATGTATAGCATTGCTAAGCGCAATAATCAGCAGGCAGGTGGCGAAAAGAAATAAAGGAAGGAGGAGGGATGCGGTTTAAGTGCCGATTTATCATATGGAGATGGACCATAGGGAAAACTACAACACAACTAATTGGACCTCATCCGAACTGATACTGTCATTTGATACGCCAACGATGACCTTCCATCAACAGAGTTGCACCGGCTACATCTGCTGCTGCAAGGTGTTGTTCTTACAGCAAAGTTTTCTCCATCTTATGCACTTTGAATCCTGCAAACAGGATATACAGTTAGTACTTTAACTAGCCCTTATTATTGGTATCAGTTCGTCGTCTTCACCATTAATCTGCACATTATCTTCTTCATTATCTTTTATGGTGCAAGGCAGTTTCTGCTGTCGTTGCCTATGTTTTTTCTTATTTGGCCACCTTGTTTGTTTTGCGTCATTCCGGCTTTCGTCTGTTTCAGCTTGTATTCACATATCTTTTCAATTCATTCACTACTCTTCAGCCACCTTTCTCTCCGTGGGTTTTTTCTTAAGCACTCCACTTTTTGTCCTCTTCCAATCCAGAACAACCCCTACATACCTGTGAACACTGTCAGAAGTCGTTTGCTACCAAGTGTCATTTACAAACACACGCCAGAGATGTACATCCGGGTACGGGTTGAGTTGCACGAATTTGATTTTGTTCACACATCATCACTTGTGCCCTGTAACATCATCCTCTTTCCTATTGCGTGGCTTCAATCGCTTTGTCTATTGTTCTCTCCTTATGGCTGAGCAATGTGTTGTTTCACAAAATATGTAATTTTCCAGGCCTCATTGTATGCTACGTTTCTGCTTAAATTAAATACTAAATAAATAGGCGTTTATTCTTCATTGTTGTAAGGCACAACCCAACTGAATGGACTGGTCATTTGTTGTGATCAATTGTTGGTGTGTAATTGATTGAAATTACTACAATTTATGCGAAATCCTTTTTCATAACTTGTGTTCTGATCTACCGTTACAGGTTTGAATTCCTAATGCTCTTAGTTTTCACTTCGTCATTTTTTCAGTTTTTCTTTTTGTGTTCTGATAACCAGCGCTGTTTTTGATTCATAATCATATAGCAACACTCGTTGCGACTTGCTTGATGAAAACTAAAAGCAAATTTCACAAAAGATACCTTCAGTTGCTGATTAGTCGTAGTTTTCTGACATCGGGTTCAAGTGTGTTTGCTTGCTTGTTATTATTTCGGACCGCCACTTCTGGTATGTACCTCCTAGCTGTATTCTTGTTTCATAAGGAACCATGAATTACGCCAATGTGGATTACCTCATGTGGCATCGACCGTTGCACAGTAGAACTAGGAAAATATTCTTCTTATCGACTGCATACCTCGTAGTGACTAAGCGAACGCATGCTACCGCTGACGCCTCCCTACTTTTTCTCCTGTACCTTCCCTCCTTGTCCTCATTTCAACTAATACCCTACTTCCTCCAAACCAGGTGACCGTACGGGCGATTACCCTTTACCGCGCTCGTATACCTCCGCACTAAGCGCACAACTTCGAGTGCTGGAACTGGCTCACCCTATTCGACCGGTACGCTGGTGAGCGACGCGCTGCGTTAGTCACGATGGAGCTCACGCATCATGAGGTCGATCTTGCACCACTCAGTGGGACAGCTCGCTGACCAGAGCGAGCTGTATAAGGCTGGTGCTGTGTACAGGTGCTGCTGAGTGGGAAACGCCACCATATCACCACGTGAACCTGGGGTTGGATTTACAACCTCTGACCGCCTAAGTGCCCAGCTGGTGGCAGAGCTGACTTGCAGCAGCTCAAGACTGATGAAACTACGCATGTGACTTGGAGGGGGTAATTTTGCCACGTGTTATCCTGATGACAAGAGAGATCAGTTTTGCACTCATTTCTTTGCAGTTGTGTCTTGGGGACACTCGTACACTGCATGATACGCAGAGGGCACTTGCTCAGCTGCGAAACACCAAGTGCGCCGCTGCCGACGGGGTACCGGACCCGGATTGATTCATGCTCTTCACCACGTTGAAACGCGTGTGGCTGGAAGAAGCGGGTGCCGGCTGACTTGAAGGATGCCTTTGTGCTATCGCTCCACAAAAGGGAAAGCAACAAGCGATGTTGCACGAAATATCGTGGCATCAACTTTCCGATTTGTGTGGGTAAAGTGGTTTCCCGAATTCTGCTCAACCGCTTCCTAACTCATATCTTTGAACCGAACATGCCCGACGAGCAATGCGGATTCCGTCGAGGCCGCAGCACCATAGATATGGTGTTTGTGGCTCGTTACTTGCAGTAAAAATACAATGGGCGACATTATCCATTGTACTCGCTGTTTATAGGCTTCACCAAGGCGTTTGACACAGGGAAATACGAGGCATTGTGGCTGGTGTTGGATAAGTTTGGTTGTCCCAGTAAGTTTCGCAGTTAGATTGTATGTCTACACAGCGGTATGCGGGTGAGGGTGCAGACTTGTGGACAGTGCTTGGAGGACTTTACTGTTGTCTATAGACTGGACCTTAACGAGGTGCGATGGTTTGTATGCCTCGGTGATCCATTAAGCTAAGTTAGATGGTGCTTTATGTACCTACAGAGCCACTCATGAAGGATTGATCAATGGTTAGAGGCCAGCCATACTCAGTCTCCTGGTCCTCCGGGTTGGGAGTTAGATTAAGAGCGTTTCCTTTTTCCTTAACACGGACTCTATGTAACCCACTACCAACCCGCTTCTTTACGGTCAGGTTATTGAACCAGAGGGTTTGGTTGAGAACCTTAATCATTCTCCTGTCTAGGCCTGCGCAACCTGCCTACGCAGTACACTAACCTTACATTCGAACAATTTCTTGTCACTCTGGCCGTCGCGGAGGATGATCAACGGCGCCCGATCTGCTGCATCGAGCAGGGTGGATAAGGGTTCGGATGCTACTGCTCATGCCTTCCCGTCTTCTTATTCCCAGTCCTTGCGCTTTTTCACCCTAAGCGTCCCTCTCCAACTTCACCTTCCCTCTTGTTTTCATTACCCAATTCTTGGCCCACCCCCGACTTGCTTCAATAGTCGCTTGTCCTCTAGTTTTAACTCACATGCAATCGCAGGGCGCCGCTCTAGTCCCGTCGACAACTCCATGTTCAATTCAGCGGACAAGTCAGTTCGTTCGTTTCTCTTTGGACTCATAGATCCTCGTTAAGACTGACATGCCTCAAGGTGCGCGCTTTGCTGCAGATTGGCCAACGGGCAGCACTTGCCAGAAAACTGGAGACCTTGTCGATCGATATTTTCCACTTATTTGAAAACTACCTGCAAGATTCGAGGTCTGTGCTTATCCTGCGATCCCACACATGCGACTCTTACGGCACATTGTTATTGCGTTTGTCTGGAGTTGACGCAGCTTCAAGTGTCGGATAAGCTGGCGTCGGCATTGTTTAGAGTCCCCGGGCTGATGCTGCTCTGATTGATTGGATCCCAGTCAGCAGCTGGATGTGCGCCGTTAGAGTGGCTGTCTCGTTTTGGTCTGTCCTTACGGCCTACGCCCTCTCAACCTGCAGCACTGATTCGGTGAAAGATGAATTCCTGCACTAACTTAACGATCTTCATTACAGGAAAAGTACGGATACTGTGGTGCTTGCTGGTGATCTGAACGCCCAAATCAGGAAATTGTCTTCTGATGAGCTTCATCTAGGTGGTCAACATGGTGTAAGCTCCCTTAATGATAACGATGAGCGGTTGCTACACCTTGTGAAAATACTCGTCTCTGTCTCCTGAGCACTAAATTTCGCCACAGCACCCGCAGAAGGCTGACTTGTCACCCACCAGCCATGGAGGCAAATTGATCACATCGCTATCAGTTGACGCTGGAGATGCTGCGTCCAAAACTGTCGCTCAATTTGATGCACGTGCGTAGACTCCAATCACACTCTTTTGTGTGCTGACCTTCAGGTGCGTTTCGGCGGACGTCCGCAAAGTCGTTGTGCGCACTTAAACGCTAGCTAACTGGTGTAGCCAAGTGTATCAAAGTGCGCTGGCATCCGGGCTGAGCAATAGTCCACTGAACTGCGTTGAAGATCGTTGGCTGCATATTTGTCAAACGTTAGTATCAGCAGACATGTCTTCATGTGGCAAATGAAATTACCCACCTGAATATTGGGTCTCTACAGTCTCTGGAACTTAGGGATACTCGCTGACGTACGATGGGTGATCAAATAGAAACCGATCTTTTGCTATAATAACTTTATTGCTCATTGCACAGAATGTTAGCTTTTTCCCTCCCAAAGTATTCCCCTCACCTGGAAATACACCATTCCCAACGATGCTTCCATTTTTGGAAAGCCTCCTGGAACGCACTTTCTTGGATGGCGCGCAAGTCTCTTGTCGCATTGTACTGTACCTCGTCCATTGTTTTGAAACGAAATCCTTTCAACTTTTTAAGTTTTGAAAACAGGAAAATTCTGCAGTTGCTAGGTTCGGAAAATAAGGTAGATGGGGCACAACGGGGGTGTGATGTTTGCTTGATAGCTGCGGACAAGAAGCGACGCGTGAACCGGCGCATCATCATGATACAACATTCAAATGTGGTTTTCCCACAGTTCAGGCGTCTTACTGCGCACAGCATCCCACAAACGCGCTAGCTTTCGATGGTATGATCCTGGGCTGATGCCCACTTCTTCAGCAACTTCTCAAACACGTAACCGGCAATTTCCACGAATCATTACATGAACTCTCTCGACATGGTTATCCTCTCTTGGGGTGGAAGGTCGCTCAGGTTTGGGATCGTAACCGACCGAGATTCTGCTGTGTTAAAACCACTCATAATATTGCGTGCGACTCTACAGTCCTCCCCATATGCTTGGCTAAGCAATGGAAATGTCTCTAAACCTTTTGCCAAGTTTGTAACAAAATTTCACACTCGCGTTGTTCTTTAAGCTCTTTCACTGTATTTTGGCACCAATCCAACGAACAGCTTGGACACGTCCTGACTTCAGCTACTGTAGCTCTCCAGCCAGCTGTCAGAGGGAAATGCGCAAAAAGCGGTTTGTTACCTAAGTAAGCCTCCACATGCGCTCAGTAGCCTCAGCGCGCTCACTCTGAAGGTTAATTTGGTATTTCCAAAATTCGGCTTCTTTTTGAGCACCCCACGTATTCCGGCTGGAATCGAATACAACGAGACTCCTAAAAATATCAGGGCAAAACTGCGTGCTGGCCTGAAGAGAGACTGCGAAACCTGGTGGTCTCATCGTGCATCCGAAATGGAAGCAGTCGCTGCTTTGGATTACCATCGGAACTTATTCCGTCTGCTACTGGAAACAGGCAGCACGAGATCTGGTGTTAGCGAGACTATATGCGACGAGAGTGGGCAACTAACTGATCCTTAGTTTGTCAAGACGTTTGGTGTGTTGAACCGAACCGATCTGAGTTATCGCTTTCTTTTTCGGTATTGAGTGTCCTTCTCACTGGGCCGCTCCTTGTATCCGCCTTCACGCGCGGAATTCGATCGTTGGATCAAACTGTTGAATTTGCATAAGGCCGCTGGGGCAGATATAATTTCTCCAGCCCTCTTCAAATTCGAATGACCTACTCTTGTAGATGAGTTACTAGTGAAACTGTGTGAGATGGAAGCTGTCCCAACAGAGTGTAGTCGTTCTGTCCTAGTCCAAATTTTCGAGGGAGGCTGTCGTTCGCGATTCCGCAATCATGGAGGGATGAATCTGATCTGAATCGCCACTAAAATTGCTTGCGTCCGTCGTTCTCCACAAACTGACTGACACTGGTTAAAACCAGGTACATGAGGAGCTAGCCAATTTTCGTCGAATTGGGCGCTGCATAGACCACATCTTCACTTTTACGTCAATTATTGGGGCACCGGCATGTTTGTTGACGACTAACTTTGCGTTTCTCGACATAAAGGCTGTCTTCGATTCCTCGGGTCGTTTTACCCTTCGGAACTGTCTACTGAGGAAAGTTGCGCCCAATAAATACGTAAACATTATCAGAGAGCTATACGCGCATAGTTCGGGTAGAGTGTAGTTTTATGGCAAACTTTCGCTGCCCTTTTATATCTCCGGGGGTGTGAGACAAGGTTGCTCGTCGTCACCTTTCCTCTTTAACTTCGCCATTGACGAAAGCATAGAAGCAGCGTTCGCGGAGCATGACCGGCAAGGTTTGAGCTACCTCCTTCTGAGCGAATTGATCTGTGACAGCTGCTAAACTTGCCAATCAGAACTGGACCGATTAGCATTGGCTGACAATCGTTTTGGGCTATGGTTAGCTCCATCGAAATGCAAAGTCCTTCTCAAAGGTTGGCAGGGACACTGCTGCGCGATGACTGTTGGTGGTGATCAGCTAGAAGTCGTTCAGGAATTCAACTACTTGGACAGCTATATTAGCGCCTATGGGATCGAAGATTAGATTACGAACCGTATAGCAAATGATCATGGTGATTTTGCCTATCTCCGCCACCTATGGTGCCGACTCGATATCACTCTAGCCTTGAAAGTTAGAGTTTATAATCTAACCGTCCGTTCGACCCTCTTACACGGTTATGAAACTTAACCCGTCAGGTTGACAGCCATAAAGAGACTAGTCATGTTCGATCATCGCTGCCTTCGCAGCTTAGTTTATATCTGGTGCGAGCACCGCGTGAGCAATGAATGTGTTCTAAGCCGCATATTTGGTGCAGGAAGGGCGAGTAGACCGCTCAGCACCATTATATCACGCACCAGACTCCGATGACTGGGCCACGTGCTGCGCAAGTCAGCACACTGATTTTCGCGACGTGCCTTTTTCGCGCCGGGCGTGCTTTTAAAAGAGGAGGAGGGAGATCAAGGGCTGACTTGATCAAGAGGATTGAAGTTTATTTTTTCGAATTTGGCGTCGGTTGATACATCCCGACTGCCTGACTGGGGTCCCATTGAAGAATAATACGTTTGGTTGCGCACATTTACTGATATGGCGACAAGCCAACCCCATTGGCGTATGTGTTGTGAGTTTCTTTGTCTATCCCCTTCTCCATTATATTCCCTTTCCAATTACGATCTCACGATATGCATACTATATTATTTGACATTATATTACTTGCTTTTTAAATCCTTCGTGGTGCAATTTTCGTATCTTATCTTTTTGTTCCGGGGCACATTGCTTGTGGTGTGGATCTCAACCTCAGCTTACTTTTATTGATGATAATATCTCTCTTGTAAAGCGATATTGCTTCTTTTTCCATGCCCTGTTTACTATTTATCTTCATGCAATGATGTCGTATGCTTTTGATTACGGTGTCGTACATCAGCAATGCTTCGAGTGCTGCCGTGATGAAAATGAAGCAACCTCTGTATTATTTTTGCGTGAACAGGCTTGGCAAAACCACTCCGCATTTCGGCGGATGTTTATGACATTTCGTCGCTAATATTGGAGTTTATTCACTTAGTTGAGTACATCAGTGGTGATTTGAGGATTTGATCCTCTAAGTGTTCACGAACGGAAATGGTTGCTTGAAGATACTTATTCCGAATGCACCAGGGAACCGGCGAATCTCTGTATGCTTTTGTTGCCCCATGCACCCTGAGCTCTATGACTTCTTAAAAATGCACAAGCCAGACAACTTTGCGATCAGTTCCAGATGTGCAGAGCTCACCTCATCAAAGCGTTGCATGATAGTTGGCAACTATACTTAATTCTATTAGAAAAGTGATAGTCCCTCATCAGCTAACGGACGCGTTCCAATTCGTTGCACATTCTAAAAAATATGAGCCCCTTAGGCTTTCGACTGTTTTCTTTAGACTTCGTATGGCTGTTAACAATGTTCCGTTGCTAGACGCAGCCAACGTTCTAGCGCCTTCGTTGACCAGTTTCGGGATACCAAAAGTCTATTTACAGCGGCTTATTATTCAGATTCACGTAGTGCATCCGATTCTAATACATCAGTGCATTTTACAGACTTGTAAAAGGATTAGCTACGGAATCGCTTCTTGCTCCACTGTTAGCTGATGTCTACATAGATATGCTAGAGGAATTCCTACTAAAACCGATCATATCGAGCTTATGGTTCTACCGACGTTGTGTGGAGGACATATTGTATATAACAGAGCAGACCAACAGCTTACAGGTTGTTCCTGGGAGTTTCTGTGGCGTATGAGTTACCATCTCCAAACAGCGTCCACACCAGCATTGACCGAGTATTTTGCTTCAGTTACTTGATCGCTGCTCTGTACCCATTCTGACCAGAATACACATTTGCACGCGGCCAGCTAGACGTGTTCTGTTCTCTTTGCGTCGTTCGGGTAAGAACCATTGTTGCGTTGCAGGCTAACCTTACTTCCGCATATGTAGACTTTAGCACTTTCCATAGAGCACATCCTACTGCCGCATTTACAGTTGAAAAAAGAAAGTAACAACCAACTGAGTTCCTTAAGATAACTCAAGGTAGGATATTTCACGAAACCATACTAGATGGGACCATACACACAAGCCTAAAGCTTCGTTCCACTCAGCCCCAGGAGAACACTGATACTACTGACTAACTGTGCACGCAAAATATATAGTGAGGAGATACTTGAAGGTGAAATGAGGCGAATCAAACAGACACTTTTCGAAAAAGGCTATCCATTACCCTTACCGACGCTCATATGAGGCATAGCAGCCGGCGGTCCGCAGTGCACACAACCGCGAAGAAACAGCCTTTTCTCGAACTCTTTCTTAAGAGTGACATAGCGGCTGATATCGGTACATTACGATCAGTACGAACCTACAGAAAGACCTTTAGTTCAACACAACCTAACCTTGTCTCTTTAGGAGCAAATTGTTGCTAGATCCGAAAATATTGTGCCTGATCAATTCGAATCAATGCTTAGGTACCCGGTTCAGCTGCTCCTGTGGAACTAGATATATATATCAAGCGTACGACCAAACACTTGGGAAACAGATCAAGAAACATTTACCGATTTTGCTCACCAATCGGTGGGACCGAAGTAGTTTTAGTGCAATAACTCTTTATATGCTTTGCGTTCGAAATCTTGTGTAGAATACCACCGCAACTAGATCACCTGCCTGGGGCGCAATTGATTGCTCACCTGCGACCTAGTTCGCAATACCGTTAACTGGTCGCTTTGCATCTGCATGCTATATACTGTTGGACACGATGCACTAGTTGTAACAGTTTGTGTGCACTTGCTCCAGGTACGTCTAGAGACCAGTCTGTTGAGGAAATGAATGCAAATGCAGTGATAAAAGTGTTCGATTGTGGTTTTTTGAGTCTTTCGATACGGGAATCATCCACACTAGAACGCGGATGAGATACTGTGGCACAAATTCGGTTGTCTCTACTCATCGTTTGATAACCCGTCTAACGTAAACAGGTGTTTACGTATTCTTATTTGCACCATGACAAGTTGTTCCGTTCTTCCTCATGAATACTAATGTTATATTTTCTATTCCAGAACAGGGAACCCATACCTGTGGTTATTGTGAAAAATCCTTTTGTCGACGCCAAATTCTCCAGAATCACGTAGCCGTCGTTCATTTGAGTGAGTTTCTGCCTCCCTAGGTTTCTATTTCCTTGTTATGTTGTCTGAACCGCGTTTTATCTCTTGTTTTTGGCGTGTTTTATTTTGGTATGTGTCGCCGAGTACTGTCTGTGTTGCAAATTATGTAGCTGATAGCCTCTGTCCTGTCATTGGTTTCTACTTACTGAGTCTGGCGAACCCCACTTAAAATTTGTATATCGTCCAGTGTGGTTCCATTAACTCCCGTAGTACTTCACTTGCTTCGGTACAATCCAGCGAGAGCTCGAACGCCAGATTGCAATAGTTGATTGCGAACATCCCCCCCTTGAAATTATGTTATTTCTCTCACCAGATGTGGATCCGCAACCATAACTTTCGTTTACCTTCCGTTCAACCCTCCTGTACGTTTGCGAATGCTGACCCGTCCCATCGATATACCTAAAGAGGTTTGTCACCTTGGCAGTTGCTGTTTTCTGTTTTAATGTCCTGCTTGTGACAGCTCTCTTAATGGGCAAGTACGATGTACCGGATGGCTTGTGGATAGTATAAGCACACCGATAAGTATCCGACTGATGTCTTCCCACATAACCCACTGGAATTAGTCGCCAAACATTTTGTGCATTTTAGCTGAAACGAGCGAGTAGAGCAAATTATGACCCCGCACGCGGGGTCTCTCTCGAGAGAGAGGAGACAACAAGGCTCTGCAGCTGACGCCTTGACTGGCCCGGTGAAGAGCGAATACAGCCTCATAAACTAAGGTTGGTGGCGTATGTCATTTTTCGCATAAAACAGTCTGCGTAAGCTTTACCAGGAAAGCGTGGCGTATTCAAGTTGATTGGTTAACGTCTGCGAACCTTTTGGAAACGAATGTTTGTAAATCAGGAATCGACTCGTAGGTAAACGGAATAGAACTACGTAAACGGGGCATTTTCAAAAACATCAGTGTTCGTAATATGGGAAACTGGTTGAAAAGTGAATTCATTGGTCAGAAAAAAATAAAGTGTGGTAATTATATATGCTGATCGAATCATGGGCACCGGCATGCATACGAGTGTCTGAGCTTTACTTGGTTTCGCTTTGCGCGATGATGTGGGCGTATGCGTTCCCCCTTTGCAGCTTAGCTCAAGTCTGGTGGGTGCACCGCGCGTGCAACCAGCGTGCTTGGCGTCTCGTACTTGATAATCGAAGAGCGAATGAACGATTCGGCATCGTTGTATCACTCACCACGCTCCGATGGCTTAGTCACGTGTCACGCATGACAACACACTGACCCGTGTCGTACATTGTTTGCGCACTGTGGGTGTGGATGGAAGAGGAGTGATGCCAAACGATGACAGCCCAGAGGAATGAAGTCCCTCACCTCGAAGTTAGCGTCGATGGGAACCTCTCGACTCTCTGCTTGGGGTCCGAAATGCAATTAACACGTTTGGCTGAATACACTTGTTGACATGGTATGGAGCCCACCTCAGTGGAGTTTTTGTTGTTTCTTTGCCCCTTCACCACCCGCCTAGCCTCCCTCTTCAACCGCGACCTGACTCTCGGTACACAGTAAAACGAAACTTTAAATTAGTTTTTCGACATCGACATCGTTCCTCATGTGTCCCCTTGCTTAGCATCTCCAGCTGGTCATCCATTCATATGCATGCAACATATTGATGAATATGTCTAACCAAATAGTTCAGTCTGTCTGTGTGGGTAGTACAGTCGTTTGGTGAATATTTATTGAACGAGCAGATGCGCGCTCATTAGCGTATGAAGGTGTTTGCCTTAGCCGAGTTTTAGTCGTTGCTTCAATGTTACGCAACTAGGCTTGAGGTTTCATTCAAACATAGTCAGTGTGAGAAGGCGAAGGTCCGTTATGTTGTTGCCTGTGCAACAGTAAGATAGTTTTGTTGTAACGCTTCTTCTTTCCCTCTGCCACTGACAACTGTTGTACTGCTGCTAGCTGCCCTATGAGACTGCTACTGTCTGACTTCCGTCAAGCGCCCAGCCAATCGAATGAATACAAAAAGCCAGAACTCGGTTGACAGACAGTGTATATCTATTGATTGGTAACCGAAACATGCTATCTTAGGAGGTCAAGGTCGCCCACTATTTTGCGTCTGGTTTTCAGCTAGTGCGAGTGAGTCCCATTCCACGGGTTAATCATATTGACGGAATAGTTCGATTCCTTTGACGCGGGCTGCTAGCTGCTGGCAGATCAATTCTCACTGGATTCCCAAATTCAGCTCCGCTTACATCTCTATTAAGTTTGTCTTTTAATGGTACACCTATATGAAAACGATCTGTTTTCTGTTCCAGAGCGGCGTAATCATAAATGCGAATACTGCGAAAAATCTTTTTCTGATGGGAGTAGCCTTCGAATGCATATACACGGTGTTCATTTGAGTGAGTACATTTTCCGTTATACTGTCGCTTTTCAACTAACCCATCGGACTTGTTTAGTCACTTGTTTCTGAATGACCGCAATTTCCACCTCGGCATAGAATTCATGTGTAGTGCGTGAGGCGGTAGGGGCACTGTACCAGCCGAACGCTTCAGTTAACATTTTCTTTTTTGCATCGGTCCATTACTTTTTGTTCTGGTCGTTGATCCGGATTTACTGCACGATTGCACCACATTGTCGTTAGTACACTAGATATCTTTCCTTTTTATCATTTAGTCGAACACACTGCCTTTGCCATTAATACTTCAAATTTGTCTATCAAATCACGACTCTCATTTCACATTGGTTTTCCTAACGTCCGCACTTTGAGTCAGATCGGTCAACAGGCAGCACTGACTCTCACTCTCTACTCTCTTGGTATTGATGTGTGCTGTATCTCCGGAACGCGCATAAAAGATAATAGCGTTGTGACAAATCTTAGACTTCCTGGTTCTGAATGTGCTGACAATGACCACACTCTTCGCGAGTTCGGTGATAGAGTTAATGACTCAAGGTATTTACGGTGTATGTATCGCCCCCAGTAGACCCGCAGACTGGAATCGTCTCATGTGTGCCGTGAAGAATTATTTTATCGTCTGCTCTGCACCCAACTTTGGACGCCCTTACTGTATAGATCTGGGGCGTCGATCAGTTTGATCGAAGCGCGGAGGTAGATGCCACTAAGCACTGCGTTTTATCTTGTTCGTAAAACCTTGAATCCATTGCTGACAAGGAGTCTTCGAGTTTCAAGATCCTTTGAATTAAAGAAAGTCCGCGCTGTTCCAATTAATCCGGATCACGGGTACGAAAAAGCCATTAGTTGGTTAGACAATAGCTGAAAAAGATGGACAGTTTATCCTTTCTCGGCCTCTTTCACTGACCTTTTGGGCCGAACATATCGCAGAGCAGTTCAGTAGCTGGCCGGTTGATGATGTAGATTAAAGGCATTCAGAAATTGGCCATGAGACTTGATCAAGCTGGTGCATATCGTCTTTCTTGATGGGGCCTCTGAATGATCCACACTAGTGAACGCAGTCACGCAGTCAGTGGTGTTCCTGCATGAGATTTCTTGCAGTTAGCTGTTGATCTTTATTTCATCTTTGGTTTTGCGCTTTTTTCATGATTCTAGTTTGTCTTTTGTTTGCATTTAACCTTCTTTTCCTGCCGTCGTTATTTATGGTTATTTGACGATGCGAATCCTGGCAACTGGATCCACCGTAGTTTGGTGCATAGATCTTAGCCGAACCGAACTAGCCGGACTCTTCAGTCATCATTTTTTTGTTTTTTATCGGTCGCTTATTTTTCTTCTTTTCGTTTATCTGGATTTACTGCTCCTACCATTACGCCCCAATGTCTTAAGTACACGATTTCGCTACCTATATTTTCTAATCTAGTCGTTGTTGTGTGGTTGCGGATAATACTTTACCGGAGCCACTGTGTGCGTCTCTCGGTTGCGTTTGTTTCCTGTGGTTGGAAACTTTACAAGCTAGCACAAAATGAGTACTGTTTGTCATGGTGTTCAGTCATTGGGGATTCATATCTCGTTATTCAGTTGTGCACAATGTAACTTACCATGAGAGCGTTGTCGTTGAAGCTATCACGGGAATAGCAACTGCAGCCAGCCTGTTATCCCAAGCTATATCGAATAACACCTAATTCTTTTCACCATCGGCGGTGTGTAGAAAAAATACGCGATTTTGTAAAACTATAAATGACAATTTTTTGTTGCATGAGAGGATGTCCTACATCCGGTTGGCTTGTAGGATTTCTTTCTACAGGCGTATGGCTGGATGTTACGCGTGAGCGCTTCATAACTGTACCTGACTCGGTAAATTGCGATGGTAGTACGATTAAAATGACGCCCATCTTCAAGAATGGTCAGCGTACTTTGTGCGAAAATCATCCAGACATCAGCCTTGTTTCATTAGGATCCAGACTTTTCACGGCTATTATTCTCCTACGACTCACTGGTCCCCGTGAGAACCGAATTACTTTAAGCAAAGCCGGCTTCCACTCTGGTCGTGATTGTAGGGACACATTTCCTCTTCACCAAATTTTAGAGCAGACACTTACACACAACCGACTATATCGGTTTTCCTTGACTTGAAAGCTGCCCTCGACTTCGTTGACTGTGCCAGCATGTGGAACTGTCTATCCATGAAGGGCGTGTCGGCCGAATTTCTTTCCACTATGTACTCTCTACCGTGACTCCCGAAGCCATGTATGGGTCTACGGGAAACTGTCTCCTGATTTCTGCACAACAAGTGGGGTTCACTAGGGTTGTCCTGTATCTCCTTTCAACTTTGTGGTCGAAATAATCAAGAACCAGTCGGTTCTTTCCGACTCTGCTGGAGTACTTCTACCAGGTGACCGAGTGACAAATGCGGAGTACGTGGACAACATAGGCTTTCTTGGCTCTGACCTAGTGGCTATGTAAACACTACTAAATAAACTGGTGCATAGGGCTACATGCTTCGGCATATGGGTTGTACCTTCGAAGTGCAAAGTTCTATTGCTGAACTGGACCGACACATCCGTTCTAGCTATCAGGGAACAGCCACTGGAAGTGGTGGATCGGTTCACTTGCCTTGGTAGCTGTGTCACCTCTGGTGGTCACATCACTGAGGAAGTTACTTCGCTTATCAGCAAGACCCATGTGGCTTTGCAGAGGATCAATTATCTACGGAGATATAATAACATGAAATTCGTTCAGAATAAATCGGGTTTGCGACATTAACGAAACAACGGAATTGTGTCTACAACAGCTCTTAAGGAAAAGTAGGTGCACCGGTTGCTTCCCCGGAACCACAAGTGGCAAAGCTACCTTTCGTCGTTATCCCCTTAAAATTTGGCATGGAGTAAGGCGAACAGTGTTCCGGGGCTTTTATATTTAATTGGTGATCATGGCACCGTAAACTGCTAAATCAGTGAGTTATCAAGATGCTTAGCTGTACACCACTGGAACGGCAATTTCCTTCTGGAGGCTTGTCTGGTTGCTGTGTTGACCACCATAGGTAGTGGCAATGCTTCCTCCCTATCTCCTCCTTTTGGCCTAATTACTGTTTAATCGTTCTATTATTGCAAGCTATCAAGCTGCTTGTCTGCGGATGTTAGGTGTTTGTTCACACACAAATTTCAGCCTCCGAAATATACGATACTCTTCTTCTAACGCGACAGCAACGGAGCGTGCAGAGACAATTCCTTCGCAGCCAGTGCGTTTTTAAGTCCCATATTCACTCAAAATCGCTCGACGTATTAAAAAAAACTATAGACTTGTTAAACTGCAGTCAGCTCGATGAAGACGTCTCGCTTTCCGTCTGTCGTTTCTCAGTATATGTTCTGCCATACCAGTTTAATACTGCGTAACCGCCAACAGCTCTCAGGATCATAAGCAATTATTGGAGTTTTTCGCCGCGCTGATGGCTAACTACATAAGCTGTGGGACCCATATCAATCAGATCGTGTTCCATCTTACTACGTCGCTACGATCGCGCTTTTATTCCACACTCCTTGATCGGCAGAAAACTGCAAGTTTGAGGACGTTGATTTGATACATGTGTCGCAGCACACCTCGCCAGCAATCATCGCTTCCAATGTCTCATTTTTGCTCTTAAGAATGAACATCCTCTTCGCCGCTCCTCCGAGGGTTACGCGCGAGCTGTTTCGTCATCCGCTCAATGCCTCATGTCGACGTCGCTTCGCTACACTAGCAGCTGCACTCAGGCAAGCCATGAGGATCTGAAGCAGTGTGCCGATTCCTTAACCCGGTTTCTACACATAATGGGCTTAAAACAAGGAAAAATCGCCGATGGTTGAAACATTGCCAGCATAACTCTACTACCGGAGAAAAGGATGGGTAAATATCGGCCTATTACGTCCACCTCTTTGGCTTTGATGGTCTTTGAGAAAATCATTCTTGAAAAAATGCTGGCCCAACCCCGTTTAGATACCCATTTCAGTTTGCATATATAAGTTCAACTTTCACACACGATACACTGGCCTGTCTAATGCATTCAGTCTTGTCGTTGCTAGACAGTAGACGCAAAGCCACGCGTGTTTGCTTTCTCGACTACAGCAACCCTTTCGATTGTGTGAACCGAAAATTGTTGTTGCAAGATCTACAGACGTCTGGTATTCAACCTTTCACAATATTCTTGCTAAAGCATTGCTTCACCCAACATACTCAGATCAGCGATTTTGGCGACGAACGCTTCTCACCACTTACCACAACATCCGGTGTCCTTCACGGGGCGTTTTTGTCACCATCCTTCTTTTCTACTTAGGTTAGCTCTATGCCTGTCCCAGGAGCAACTATCCTGTTAAAATATGTGGATGACGTTATCATTGGCGTGAATCATCAAACCTCGGCTTCCTCAGCCAAACTGCAAATTAGTTTGGACGAATTAGTGCAATGGTTAAACCCCCGCTGCTTGACGCTGAACGCGTTCAAGTGTAATGACTTTCTGCTTTCACTTCATAAAGCAGCCCCTTACCAAGAACTTGGCACAGAATGTCCCAAACTTCAGATTGAAGGTAAAGGTTTGCGCTTATGCACGTCAGTGAAGTATCTGGGAGTAACAATGAGCCACGATTTGTCGTGATCACTCCAAGTGATTGAAATATTCACAAAAGTGGGACAAATTTCGTTTTACCTCGCTCGACTGCGATCATCCTGTGTACCTCACAATTTGATTCTGAAGTTCATCACCGCGTGCGTTCGACCACAGTGTACTTATTGTTCTCCTGTGCTTTTTCCAGGCCTAACGCGTAAGAATTTCGACCTGCTTGACAGATCACTGATGCACTTGTCCTGCTGCAGTGCTATACCAAAGCTAACTTTGGCCAAACCAATCGTATCAGCGCACGCAAATTCATGCACTAAACTTACTAAAAAAATGCCCACTGATATTAGCTACCCTCTTCACACTGCACTTTCCAATTGCTTATCTACCTCATCGACTAGACAAAAGTACACTGCACTATACGTCCGTCCGAAGCCATGTGGGGTTCATCGGTCATTCCCTATTTAGCCAGATTAAATTTTGACCAAGACGCTATTATTCGGAAACTGTCCAGTAACTTCTGCCATTGTGGTTATTTTTACTGTGCGTTTTTTGCTGTTTGTTCTGTGTCTTTTATTGTCATGTCGATAGCATGTGTGTCAAGGCTGAGAATTCACCCGTCACGGGTGCACAAAAAAAGCGCATTCTTGCCTGGACTTGAATCACCTCCGACCACCATGAACCGTTCCACTTATCTTCGAACTCTCTGTTAGCGATTGCGTGGAGCGCGTTGCTCGTGTTTCCATTACTAATGTCCACATACATTTCGGTTCTCAAGTCTTCCTCTTGTGTTTTAGGGCCTTTGTGTGGTCCGCTTTTTGCTCAATACCGCTTTTGGCTTTCTTGCTGGTTCTATGCTACTGACACTTGACGCAGTAGTACCTGTTTCTGGTCGATCGCAGCACCACTGTTTATTTTCATTCTTGCTCTAGCTTCTTGTTACGAATTCGTGCTTTCTGTTCCAGAAAAACGAACCTGCATCTGTGAGCACTGTGGTAAAGCCTTTTTTCTGTATTCCAATCTCAAGCTTCACGTAGCCACCGTTCACTTGCGTAAGTTCAACCTTTTCGTATTCTGTGTTTAGATGTGCATTACCGCAATATGTGCTGCCAACTACCTGGAGCTTTGCCCTCTAACATTCACGGTGTTATGAGTTATGTATTAATTTCTTATTAATGTGCATTGTTATGAACGGCCTACTTGCAACGTCTCAATTAGTCGAAACAAATGATACAGGAGCTGTTTCCCACGCGTGCTAGGCTTAATCACTGGCTTCTTACGCAATCAAATCTCATTGAGAGAGAGGTAGAAAAATGGGAGAGAAATCAGGCTTTCGGCGACTACAAAGCTGCACATCCTCGATAATGTGCCGGTGTTGGTGACGTATGTCAACTTCTCCATTGCACGGGCGCTTGTCCTGACATGTTAGTTCACATGAGTGCGAGGAGTAGTCTGTGGATTCCGGTGACTGCAGGAAGTAAGCTGGTACATGCCGAACATGTCAGCTCACGTAGACGCGAACTTCTGTGCCATCTGTGAATAAGCGGTGCAGTTTCTTACTTGGACAGAGCTTATACGATTTGTGGGCAATTAAGATCCCCATAACACCTCTTTCAGTTTTGAACATACCACTTTTGTTGCGGATTTTTCTCCTTCGGCGGATACGTTCTGTCTAGCTTCGAGGAAAGATCATGTGTGATGTTGGTGGAGATTTAATATTCATTGCTCGAAGTGTACTACTCACGAACTCAGACAGTTCGAAATGTGCATTAGCGCGGATCAATTAGGAGATGCCTTTGGTTGGACCGGCGTACTGGATGTTTGCTTGCGATCGCCGTTTTCAAGGGCCCTGGTGACTGGCGTTGTAGCACCTTGGCTACTTGTTGACATTAGGAACATCGGGGAATCAAATCTACGATTTTTCTCTTGGTGTGGAATCAGTTGACATCTGCTAGTGATTACTTTTATCCAAGTCGTTTAGGAATGAGGGGATTTGAACCTATTCAATGACGTTTATCGAGACTGGAAGGGACAATTAATCGAGCGATCGTCTTGAGCCAGGATTAGACCACAGACAGAGATAGTCTCGACGTTGACACAGCTGCTTGAATTCTCCAGACAGGGCAATGGTAGGCCAGCGTTTCCCAGCTTGATTGACATCCTGGCGGAGGATATGGTCCTGTACGGTCGCAAGACTTGTCGGTGATTGTAACAGAAGGCTGCGGTTTGGGTTCGAGAACTTGTGACGAACATCTTCCTCGGCTGCAATAGCAGTGCTCACTGTATCCTTCTTTGTAACAGGCTCTGAGATAAAGTGATAGAGATCTCCTGTTTGGCCGGGATCCTGGGTGCGTCAAATGCGGATTTCAAAATCGTAATCAAGCAGAATGACGACGCATATCGGCTTGCCGGATCTGCGGGATATTCTTCTTGGAATCAATGACTAACAGCGATGTAATCAATGGATTTTGGTATGCGCAGAGTAACCACAGCGACTTTCGGACGGTCAGAAAGGTGAATCGTGATCATACGACTTGTTTTGAACTTTTTGACGGTAAAGACAATGGTCAGGACTTTCTTTTCATTGTGACCTTAATTTCGCTCTGTGGATTTCAGTATGCGTTGTTTGTGCTTTTATTTTCTGCCGTAGTGATAGTCTCTCGTGGCTATGTATTATTAGAGTACCTTATACTATGGTCTCGCAATAACTGTTTTTCCATCTGCCTGTAACTGTGTCTTCTTATTGGATGGCCTCATGTCGTTTACTACGAAATTCGGTGTGCACTGGTAACTGGATCCATAATATCTGTAGCGATTTTCGCCCAAGTGATGAATATATGCCAAAGACACAAATGATTTGTTCAGCTTATTGGCGATACTGAAGAGTCACTTGTGAAGTCAACACGCGAGATGGTGCGGGAACGACAAAATTTGACAAACTGTCCGGACTTACTGCATTCCCAACAAATTCCATTTTCGACTAAACATACTTGGCACTACTGTGCAATGTTCAGCCTTCTCACAGTGGTAACATTCATATCTAGGAACATCGTTGCGGATTGTGAGAATCCCAAACAGCTAATTCCAGTAGATGATTCGATGGAACCAAAGATTTCACTTTACTCAACAATTCTGAATGCTATATTAGGGGAACACGTAGAGATTCACATCTGTGCTTCCCCATCAAAATGTTGTGAGAATATTTATCACCTGTTACTACTCTAGTCATTCCTCAAGTTCTTTAGCATATTAAAATGTCTGGCTCACAGTAGCATATGGCTCATATCATACGCTCCTGGAGAAACGCAACGCCTTCTTGCCGGACGTAGGCGTACACCACTAGAGCAGCTGTTTAATAGATGAATAATTTCCTCACACATGACTTCATCTCTCCACAATGTGGGAAACCGCGAAGCCACTCGATCTTTACATCTGTACTGTGGCTGTGCTGCAATCACGGCACGTGTGTTCACCTGCACTGAGATTGTGACAGGTCTGGTTATGTATAGCATTTTTAGGCGGAATAGCGTGTAGGTCGATGATGAAAGGGAACGATATGACGAGTCAGACGGATCATAACAGAATGTACAAGGCAGCTAGTCGGACTCGATCTGAACAGTCGCTTTTATTTGGTGCAGCTACGACAATCTCTCGCTAACAGAGTCGCACCTTTCTCACCTTCTGATGAATGGCATTGTCTTTCCTAAGTAGATTTTCCCTTTATTCCTAGAATCAAGCCAGAATGTTGGTGCCTTGGTCAATTCTTATTATTGGCATCAACTCGTTGCTAACAATAGTTATCTTCGTGTTGTGCGTTTCTGCGGTCACTGCCTATGTAGTGGGCCGCCGAAGTTTTGTTCCTCTCATTAAAATATTCACCTTCCGCAGCTTGCGTACACAGCATCTATCAGACCGCGTGATTCATCTGTAGTTGCTCACTTACTGTTCCCCGGTTCAGAACAACGCTCTCATTCCTGTGAGCACTGTGGAAAATCGTTTACAGCGAAGGCTTGTTTGCTAAAGCACTTGAAATCTGTTCATTCCGGTAAGTGCGCTATGATCATTTTAATAAATATCGTTTTTCACTCTTGTTGCACTATCCCTGATTGATGTCGTTTTCCTTCATTGGAATCGGTTGCGTCCTTATTAACCGTGTTATGTTTCACTGTTTTCATGGGATAAACGTGTTGTTGATCTGAATTAATGACACACTCCATCGATTTCCCCCGATTGTTTCAATGTTGCGTTTAAACAACTATATCTGGAAGGTGTACTTAGGTGTACTTAGATAACTTCTTTAATTTTTTACGGGTTCGTGAAAGAATAAGAGCAATGCCTGGGTTCTTCTTTAGTCTGTGCAGACAACGGATCGAACGACATAGCGATCTGTTTGCAATGTTCGTACCAATTACTGACGATTGCATGCTACTGGTGCGAAGTGGTGAATTGGATCTTGGAAGCCTACTCTGAAACGAATTTTTTCGAGCCAAGTAATTTATTCCTTAAGAATATTGATAGCCTTCCCTGCGGATATATTATTGGCCTGTTGTCAGAGTTCGGCCCTTTGGTCATTGGACTAATTAATGTTGACAGTGCACCTATTGCGAAACTGACTTTATTTCCGGTCCTTGGATGATAATTTGGTTTCCTCCCATCCACATTGATTCCTTGTGTCGGATGAGTGAGTAGAACGCTGACCGAACAATTGGTTTCTTTTTGCTGTTGACCGGTGTTAAATTGCTCGTTTGGCCCGCACGGCTTTCTAGACGGCCTCTGGGTCCTGTTGTTCTTGGATTTTAGTTGATCGACAGTGCCTTCCTTTCCCACTACGACCCAATCATCAATCGTTGCACAACCCTACACGTGATAATCGGTGACCGAACATACAAATGCGTGCCAAATGCTACGCATTCATTACTATCTGTTGTTATTAGCAAGTATCCTGATGATTACTGCATTGTCCTCTCCTACGGACATGATCGTTGTGGGCGCGCTGCTGCCATTCGGTATTAGCCCCACTTGGCAGGCCGCAATTATCGTAGACTTGTAGACGCCTTAGTTCCTACGATCACTGGGGTCAAGTGTCACTACCACTGAATAGGACAACTCTCACAATGGTCTTATAAACACGGTCGTTCATACCGAGTGAAACCCTTTTTGACTGTCACAGATGTCGCTGACTCAACAAGGTATCTCTAGTTAAAGAGTCAATTTGAAGTACTCGTGGGAATGGATTGCGACGCGCAGTCTCAATGTAGACTGCGATTCACAGCGGAGTGAACTTTGGTCAATGCAATCACTGGGACCGCAATCGAAGCAGATCCATTCACGCAATGAGTACTTCAAAATGATCCTCCAATGAATCATTAACGGTTGTGACAAGCGTTGATCATTGGAGCCCCGGTATCCAAGGAGGTAGCGGTTTCGGCTACTGTTCCAATGGTCGCGGCTTCGAGGCCTGCTATATGCACCTGATGAAACCAAGGGTACTTCTAGCCTTTACAATACGTGAACTGACTTCAGTTGATCTGCGCCCATCGTTGCTGTTGCAGCTGCTTAGGTAAGTGCATTAACTAACCACCTTAGTTCCTAATTATCACTGTTCATTGGGCCATCAACTGTTTACTGGTCTTGCAACAACACTTTGCACTTTGAAGGTGCGAAAAAGATGCCATATGATGTGATCACTTTAGACAGATAATTCATGGTAAACCGGACTGCAGGACAATATGCCCCGAATTATCGAGACGAAGCAACTTTTCACCAGACAGCATTTCCACCTTTGCATCATGCACTTCCGCAAGCCATCATTTCATTAGAGCCCTCAAGGAAGTGGAACAAGGATGAAGAAATTGGGCAGACCTAACGGATGCCAATTGTTACTGGAATACTATCCAACATGCCCAGACGTGACCTGTAGTGCTCGAATATTCGGCACCTTAACTGTTCACGCATGCATTTCGATGAGTATGGATCGATTGACTGAATCGTGCATAGTTACGAATTCGAGGGTCAATGTTATTGTCGGTCCATCGTGAGTGTGGGGATGCTCTAGCATTCGTCACAGAGTGAATAGGAGATTTATACACCCCTATCTTGGGTAGAAACCTACTTTCTCCTCCATTATCCTGGATTCCCGTTCTGTAGTTAAGTTTCTCGAGTGAGTTGAGGATAGTATTTTTGTAATTGCTGGCATCAGACCAATACCACTGTCGTTTCTACAGTCGGTACGACTACCCTTCATGTATATAATCACTATACTCCATTCACTCCAATTAGCTGGGATTGTCTCTTTCTTCCAGATCTATTCGAGCAGGGCGTTCAGTACTATGCAGAGGATCTCACCACCATCTTAATGTAGTGCGAGTGCGATGGAATCTGGGCCAACTGCTCGGAAGCGATTAAGGACTATGATCGCGTTTCACATTTCAGCCTCCTGTGCACTTTCTGAACTATCCGGCCATAACCCAACCTGCACTATCTGAGTATGAATCGGTCAGCGAGCAGGGCTGTCAACTGAACTGATCTCGAAAGTACTCCGCCCTACGGCACTCCATATTGTCGAACAGAGCACCCTCGCCGTCTCTGATTGTTACTCTGACGCCTGGTTTGCTGGGACCATTGGTGCGTATCAACTGGAATAGCTTGCGACAATGTTTTCGCTGATCCGCCTTGCTGTATTCAACGCCATATACCACTTTTAAAAATTACTCGATGGCTGATGTCGTATCTGGTCGCACTGTGACTGGATAGTCACTGTTGTACTTGTTCTGAGTTACTGTCACAGCGCCCAGACCTAGACATGAAAACGATTGGGATCATCTCTCCAAAGCCTGCCCGGATGGTTGTGACATTTCTGAACTCCAGTCTGCAAGACCAGAGGACTGATTTTATCTGGCTTATAACGATTGACTAACGTGATAGGAGTGACTCTCAAGGAGCCCCGGTGGCGCCAGCAAATATGGCTTACTGTGTCGAAGTGGTTGACAGACCGTCGCACCACTTTCTAGGTCCTGTCTCCTTGTGACTACTCTTGCCAGTAACCTGTTGAGAGCCACAAGGTTGTGAACACTGTCCTGAAAGTTATTTGTGATATTGGGGCTCAAGGTAACTATTATCTCATGGATGTTATCAACCTTAGTCGAAAAATATGTTTATAGACCGACCTTATGATGAGATGTTCGGGACGAATTCCAGCAGTCTGGTTGATGATGGGTAGGTGTGCCAGTTTGTTTTTGGTATTTGAAATCGCCCCTAATCAAATCTTATCTTGTCGATTGCTCCGAGATGTAGGCGAATGTGTCGGCAAGACGGCTAATGTCGGTATTATTGCAATGTGATGTATCCCATACACACCCGATGAGGAAGCTGCAATCCGTTATCACTGATTTCTTAGAGACTGAGTCAGCGAAGTTCACAATATTCGGCGTATTCCTTGCCTCACATAGAGAGGACGGCTGAGACTGATAAATCCAGCTAAAGCCATTATCAAGGACGATATCCAGTTAGGCGCCTTGCCGGTTCTATGCTTTTGGAGGAGCGAAACTCCCATTCTACGGACATCGGCTTTGCCCAGTGGATCGAGTTTTCAGTAGGAAGGAAAATTCTTCGCTCCCTGTTTACCTCGTTTTACAATGGCATGTGAAACTGGGGAAAAATTTACCGCAACGTTTAGGTACCCATAAGCGATGCAGCGACCACCGTATGCGCAGTACTGACTGGACTGGCATTGGAACATGTGTGGCGAGCAATGTGAACCTTTGTAGAACAAAGTGCATAGTTTATCGATTCCAACTTGGAAAGAAAGTGACGAATGAAATTGTAGTTGGCAGTCAAGCTGATCGGATTAATCTGAGGGGCGAGCAAGGCAGTTACTCGGGTCCGGCCTGGAACGAGTGCTGTTCCTAAGTGCAGCGTCTGTGATCTGTGTGGCTACACAGATTTCACCTGCGATTTCAAGCTGTTGTCATTCTTTAACGAAACTTCCTTTTACTGGGGGCTCTTATCGTCGTGAGGCAGAAACATCACTATTTTCAGCTTTATTTTTTGTGTTACTATGTAATTTATGCACTAGCAGGCTGTTTTACGTTCATCGTTAAGTTTCCTGCTTTGGTAAATCCACTGTAGCATATTTTTCGATATTATACGCTTGTTTACCTTTTGTTCTTTATCCTAATTGCTCGCTTTCCATTTCTCTATCTAGGGCAGCGCCCGTACACATGTGAACACTGTACTAAATCGTTTGCTCTAAATGACTATTTGCAAGCGCACATCAAATCTGTTCATTTGGGTGAGTTGAAAAGCCCGGATCTTCATTTGACTGTGATTTTGTCTTTTGACAATATCACTGGTTCCGTTGGCACCAAGCAGTCTGTTTATTATTGCCCATTATTTATTGTTTTCTTCGCTACGTTGCATTCTACTTCAGAGGATATCCACTATTTTCGGATCAATAACGGTATTGCTCCGCTTGCTATCGTGCAACGAAATGGTGGGATCAGTTACACAACCTTTTCACTACGGTGTCATAATCAACCACTAGACCAGTTAACCCAGCAACAACCACATTTCAAGCAGGCAGTCAGACTACGAGACGCCTGAAAATTATGTTAGTTAACGTTTCACGCAGACCACTAGCCGGCGCATTCCTTGTTGCACTCAATCAGAAAGGTTGGCTTAGGCAGTGATAACGCAAACTGAAACCGTTACCAATGACCATCGCCAGTTGGGCTCCTTGCTTATGCGTAACCCCTCGGCGGTCATCGGTTTAATCTAATGGAGTGGGTGCTCATAAAAGAAAAAATTCCGCGCTCCCGTCGCTTGTATCGTTCCTTCTTCGCATTGGAAGCCACAAAGATATTTGCGCAAACATTTGGGTGTCCCTAAATGGTGCCGCGATCACGTTCGCTCGAGTACTGACTTAACTGGCATTGGAACATGCGTGGTGAACCATGACTATCATAAGTGGTGCATCATTCATTGTTTCTGTCGATTCGAAGTTGGAAGGAAATGAGGGATAAGATTGGAGCTGTCAGTCTATGTGTATGGGCAGTGGGCGAACAGGGCAGCTACTCGGATCGGACACCGAACTATTCTTGATGTGAAGCGCATCGTCATTGGTCTGTCATCTGTCCGGCTGCACGGATTGAATCTTCTCTTGAAAGCCTGTTGTCGTTCTCAGATATATTTCTGTCTGTCTGGCGCACTGTAATCGTGAGACAGAAGCAGCATGTTATCCAACGCATACTATTTTTCAACTGTATTCCTCTTGTTTCAAAGTCATGCGTGCACTAGCAGGTGTTGTTTTACGTGCGCCGTTGAATTCTCAAACTGTGTACAGTTATTCTAACGTCTTCCTTCATTCGCATTCTGTTTTCCAATCTAGATCAACGTCCGTATACATGTGAACATTGTGCGAAATCATTTTCTCGAAAAGGCAACTTACAAGAACACATCAGACTTGTTCATATGGGTGAGTATACAAAATTTTGATTTAGTTTTGAATATGATTTAGTTAGTTGGCAATGTCACAGACTCTGTTGGCACCAACCAGACTGTTTGTTAATGCTCATTGTTCTATTGCTCTTGTCGCTGAGATCGATTTCACTTCATTGGAATTATAAGGGGAAATACATATTTCAAACTGTGATATTGTTCTATAAATGAGCCTCATTTCTCGTTTGGCCCGTTCATGCTGGTTTCCGATGTTTTTTGTTATGTAGTCGATTGGAACCATTTCATGCCTACCTTCTCCCCTCTCTTAATACAGCCCAATAGTAACTGCTCATTCGTTTTCTACCGTATCCTTGATTTTCCCAATATCCGCTTTCTCATCGGGATGATTTCTGTAAATTCCCCCTTCATAACTTCACAAAATTTGTCATTTATGTGTCTCAGCAAAACACGTATTGGATAGAAGTGCACGTAATCCATCGTATCCATCTCTAGTTTGTCTGTTACTTTTATTGCGAATGGGTACAGTTCAGTTTAACTCTGGGTGGTGCAGCGCAAGCCATATATATATATATATATATATATATATATATATATATATATATATATATATATATGTACGTGAAGATTTATAGGGAAATCGAGGCTCCCGACGACTGTAGACTACTTCAGCAAGATCTCAACCGCTTATCCACTTCGTCTGCAGAAGTTCTTCTCCCGGTCAGCCCAGCCAAGTCTGTATTTATGAGCCTGGGGAAGGGTGCTAACGGCCGAACCTACACCCTTGACGGCCAAACGCTATACCCCACACCCTCCGTGAAGGACCTAGGTGTACTCTCACGCTACGATTTGAAGTCCGTGGACAACACGAACAGGTTATATCGGAACAGACTGCGCATGCTTTGGGCGCTCAAACGTAGCTTCGGCACATGGTCTGAAGAGGTTGCCACTCGCCTGTTCTCTTCTATCATTAGACCAATGCTAGAGTACGGTTCGCCCGCCTACTTTCCGATTACCCGAGGCGAGGCACAAAAGATCGAACGGGTCCAACACGTTGCTACCAGGCTGATCCCGAGTTTACGTGGCTTTGGGTATGGAGATCGGTGCGAGAAACTAGGGCTCTACACCTTGTCCTACCGTCGGGTGCGAGTCGACCTCATTATGACCTACCGAATTCTACATCTCGGTGAGTTCCCCATGCTAAGGCCAATGCTGCACTTACGAGGGCCATGCAGCACACGCGGACACATATACAAATTTGTCGTGCGGGTTGTGAAATGTGTTCCCCACCCACTGTGCTTCGAACGGAGAGTGGTAAACATTTGGAACAGTTTGCCTGAACATGTGATTGAGGCAACATCTGTGCAACAGTTCAAAACGTTGTTAGATTTGTATTTTGCCTCTATTCGATTCAGAGAACGACTGCACACTTACGATGACATATCACATTAGTGAATCCTGAAATATCGTAAGTCGAATATTTTAAATATTACATGATAACGACAATGACATTCACGGTTGACAACCTTTATAACGTTTTTCGCCATATTTCCAAAGAGTTGTACAGAATCCATTTCTACTTGCTCTATAATACAGTATTCATTAGTATATATATATATATGTATATATATATGTATATATATACAAATATATAGTCGGGTGAGCTTGTGGTTCGCTGAAGCGCTGGTGGTGACTATTCGTAGGCATGCATCTTTGTCTATCCTGGTGTCCTGGGACACACCGCGTTTTGCAATCTTAGGTTCTTTTCATGACGGAGCGTTGGTAATTAATTCTACCTCTTTGGCTGAGCAACCTGTGGGTTCAAACACCGTGCCAAACGCGCCTTAAGGTATCTGTTCGGGTGTCGCATTGCTATGTTAGCCACATCCTCCCTATGGTGCTGTGTGCAAAGCATGCGTTCGTGAACATGGTATTCCACTTCCGCCCACTTTACCCCCAACCCGGTAGCACTTTATGGACAACTTTGTGCTCCTTTCGTTCGTGGAACTTGTCTCAGAGCCAGCCACTCGTCATTAAATAGGGATTAGAATGTCCACGCGTCTCCCTCGTACACCTTCAACCCATACTATCTATGCGGGGCTTATCACATATCTCGTCATTGGTTGGTTTGAGGTAACTCAGTTCCTGGACGGTGCGCGCACACTGTGTTGCACCATCGCTAGATACATTCAAATGGGTTAACGACCAAAGTGAATTGGCTTAGAAATGCAAGCCAGATGATTAAGGATCAATTCAATTGTACTGTGCGTGGAAGTGATCGAAAACAGAGCGCGCGGCATTTTCGTTCTTCAATGACATTCAAACGCAATAGTGAAATAGAGAAAACAGACCTCCTGCAGTACGTTTTACAACCTGATGAATGCGATTACATAGCTTCACGGTGTCGATTATATGCAGAGACTGGTGAGGTTTGTAAACCAGGACGTAGCACATTTGCGCTGTCAGACGTGGCGGGACATGTGCATCCAAGTGAGTGCGGAGCCGTCCGGTCTCCGACCACACGATGCGTCTGCCTTGCAGTTCGACGTTGTCAGTTCGGCTCTGCGTAATAGTCGGGCGATTCTCGCAGTATCCTTAACCCGCTCACATTTGGTGGTGGTCTCGTGGCATCCAAGAATCGGTACTTTGTACCAGCGTACTGTTGATGACAGATGAATGTGAGTGGGGTGTTTGTGGCATAATTGAGTAAGTGGAATGTTTTTCACTGGGATTTCCTCTTGATTACACATATAATTGTGTCTTATGTCAGACTCTGTATCCTACATAACATTGGCACCAACTTGTTACCAGTAGATGCTTTGCGCATTATTCTTGACCTCCATCCTTCATTTGACGATTCAAACGTTCATTGACAGTACTTTTTTACACATTTTGTGTCACCACCTAGCGTACATTCCTATTCTTATTTTGTGGCTCGGCGGCAATTTCTCTGTTTCTCAACGCAGGAGAACGTCCTTATAAATGTGGGGTCTGTGAGAAATCCTATGGTCAGAGGATCGGTTTGCAAAAGCACCTCAAAGCTGTTCATTCCGGTGAGAATGTGGCCGAAAACACTGTTGTCGCCTATGTTTTATTACCTCTGATTATATCACTTTGATAAACTCCACTGTGCTTTGCACAGAAAATATGCAATCACAGTGCAATCGCTTCCTCTTGTATCATCAACACCAAATCCGATAATTTAATGCAAAACGTGTGAGGCTTTTAAATCGTATACTGTACATATACCGGTCTCCGGTAGACAGTCGTTGAGTTACTGGCTATCAAAGACTGTAACGGACAAATGAACTTGTTTAACCTATCTGGATATTTCCCCTACTGATTGGCTCCAAAACCACTAATCACTACCCCCTTGATTGCTTATTGGACTTTGCGTGATAAAACTTCCGTTACTTTGTTTCTCCTTCACATTTTGACTTTTATGCCATTTTGTTTCCGGATTGTCGTCATGGCGTGTACAAGTCTGAACACGAAATTACTCAAACCGTTTTCCTTGCCTTTCAAACAGCTGCGATTTAAAGTCCGTTTTCAATAGGAGTAGACTTTGCCGTGCCAGATGCCGCACGGTTTTTGTTTATACATCCCTCTACTGTATCTGGCCTTCTCGATCTTAAGAGTACTGCTACAATACGGCTCTATGGTTTAATGCGTAACGTGCCCTAGTCGTCACTGTCAGATTCATCCTGATTGTACGGGTTCATCGTGCGAAAATCGGTGTAAGTGGCTCCAACTCTATGCCGTATCACCTACCGTATGTTGCATTTCTGTGGCTCCCCTGTGCTGAGGTTACTGCTGCACCTACGCGCACCGTGTAGCATGCATGAACTGATACAAGCTTGTAGTGCGGCGCATGTAATGAAGCGGGTCTCCCTCCCCGTCTCTGCTTTGTGTGATAGATAGTCAACATGTGGAATAGTTTACCGGAGCACTTAATCCAAGCAAAATTGTCAACATTTCACTGCCACTTAATTCAAAAGACATTTACCTACCGACAATGCCACCTCAAATTTGCTAGTACTATACTACCATTCACCACATATTATTTGTAGTTGAACATGAGGGCGGGATTTATTGACGGTTAGTTTTTGTTAAACATTTTTGACTAAATTTCGATGGAGTTGTATGGACGTACTTTCTAGTTTGTCCAGTACTACCGCGTCCAGTGTTGATTACATAGTCTCTCCACACTCGCAGTTGGCAACTGTTTAAATGTGGCGATCTCCCGGGCCACTTATTGTGTTCAGAATCAATTATCGCTCAGCATTAGAGTGCCCTGGGGATAGGGCTGGTAACCCTGTCTCGCTTATCGTGTATTGGTCTGTTTGTTTGCTTGTCTAGTGAGCCACTAGCGAGGGCACTCCAGACCAGTACAGAAGCGACGACGGGTCCTGCAGAGAAAGTAGGGAGAACCGGCGCGTTGTTTGTATGTAGGCTGCATTCGATTTACTAACCGCGTACTTGCGTGCTAAGTCTGTTTGTTTCAGGTGGTGGGCTTTCATTGTTGTCCTAATGCTTTTCTTTCTCACATACATGTCTACCTTTACCCTCTTCTACCAACTTGCACACGTCACTTAAGTCAATTGTAGTCGATTTCCATCACATTTTCGTGTTTGTGGCATTTCCGTAAAGTATACTTTCTGACCTCGTGAACTTATATCCCATGCTTCTGTAATCAACTTACTTCACATGCTCATTACTTTACGATATATGTCACCCTTTCCTTATGCATTACTCGATTTATTTTCTTTGTTATCTTCCTCTTAAGTGATTGGCTGTTGCTTGATATCCCCGGTGTGGCTGCGCTTGATGTGCATGTTGACAAGGTTCCTACCTGTCTATTACCCACTACCTTGTCCATACTGGCTCTAGGAGACAGTTGGTCGTTGCTGGAGGAGACGGGGTGCACGGTTCTTGTGGCCGTGTTAGGATCAAAGAGTGGTTCCATGCAGTCAGTGTGGAGCGGACTACGGTCCAGCCACCGCCTTGTGTGCGCTTGATTCCCAAATACAGTGTGATTGTGTTTGCCTGTGAAGGAGTGTGGGCCGGCTGCGTTGATGAAACGTGGCTCCCATCCGCATGCCTCCCGGTCTTATTCCTTCGGGTTTACACTGGATATGGGGTGTGTGGTTGGAGCTGTGGGTGGTGCAGCGCAAGCCACCCATGGTCCCTCTGTAGGTGCAGACGTCCTGTGGCTGGCCACAGTGACAGGCGAATCCGAAACCGGATGCCGCCAACCATATATATTTGGTCGCACCCTTCACTGAATAAATGTTACTGCGTGTTATTGTTATAGGCGCTCATGAGACAATACACAATGTGTGCATTTGCCAGTATTAGTGTCCTTACTTTGCTTTTCAAATTACTGAAGGGAACTAACTGTTTCAACTAAATAAGTCTCTTACTTATCGATGATGCGGGAGACTATACAGACTTAGAAAATCAAGCGCACACAAAGCGGTTGCTGGACCGTACTCCGCTCCACACTGAGTGCATGGAACCACTCTTCGTTCCTAGTACGGCCACAGGGACCGTACACCCCGTCCTCTCCAACAACGACCATCTGTTTCCTTAAGCCAGTATGGACCAGGTAGTGGGTAATAGACTGGTAGGCACCTCGTCAACATGCACATCAAACGCAGCCAAACCGGGGTTGACAAACAATAACCAATCACATGACATAAAGTGACTCAGCATGCAAGCACGCGGTTAGTTAATCGAATGCAGCGTACCTACAAAAGCTGCGCCGGTTCTGCCTACGTTCTCAGCGGGACCTTTTGTCGTTTCGGTGTTGGCTTCGAGTGACCTCGCTCGTGGCTCACTAGGCCTGCCTGGCTCAGGCACCCGTGACCGCATGTGCTGCAGCACCATGCGCTCGATGTTGATGGAGTTCAACACATCGGTGCCTGTCGTTTCCGCAATTGCCGATTCTTTCCCGCATTCAGGAGGGATTACTCTTGCACCTTGGCAATGGCCTTCGTGATCAGCTTTCGCCATGCATGCCGATCAACCGTTTTCGATTCCCATGACTTGCAGCCGATATTAGAACGTGAGTGGCTCAATTTCATCATGTCTTGGTAATGTAACTTCGGTTTCCCCACATTCCGCTTCCCAACACTCAGCTGATCATATAATAGCTGCTTCGGTATCCGCATCGTATCCATACGCCACACATGATCAAGTCACCACAGGTGTCTTAACAAATGTGTGCAGTCCACTGCATACATTCCACTTCGGCGTGACACAGGAGGCATCTCCTCAATCCATACACTTTGCACCAAATGGTGCAGCGCAGTCACCAACGCGGGTCCACCATGTTTCAATGCTTCAGGCGGGATCCCGTCGGCACTGGCACCCTTGCCATCTCGCAGCTGAGCGAGTCCTTTCGGTGTGTCCGCCAGATTCGCCTTCACATCGTGCTGCTTCTGGCCACTCAAAGTTGGCCGGTCGATCTCTGAACGTTTGTACCAGCAGCAGTCAAAGTTCTTCCGCCAGATCTGCAGTCTGTTTGCAGGTAGCGTCTGAGCTACCATCGATCAGCGACCGCAGCGGCTCCAACCTCAGTCCATACACCGCCTTCAAGGAGTCGAAGAATTCCTTTTGTTGGCGGCGTTCGGCGTAGCATTCCACCTGCTTCGCCTTGCCCGTCCACCATGCACTTCTTAATGTGACGGAGCTCTCGGGTCAATAGTGGTCGAATTCTGCCAAACTTTCTCTTTTTCACCAAGTCACTGGGGCCTGCCACATGTTCGGCAAATGCTGCATTCTTCTCACGCACCAATGCGCCGATCGTCGCATTGTTCACATCAAACCAGTCAGGCCGCTTAGAGTTTGCGCGTCCGATGGTCTCTTCGGTAGCAGCTGTCACCTGGTCCCAAATGTGGTGCCACAGGTCGCCCACTGCGACTGTGCATTCCTCATCACACTGTCGTGCAGCCATCGCCTTCTCCAGCTCAATACGTTTTGACACAGTACCGATAAAATTTTACATTTATGCTGGTTTACGGCGGAAGCGCAATACATAGATTTACGAAAATATATGTACAGTTTGGTCCTCACCAATTTGTGATCAGTGCCACGCTCAACTCCACTCAGTACACGTGTCATGCGCACTTCACGCATATCACGCTGACGTACGATGAAATAGTCGAGCAGGTGAGTGTGACCACTCCGTGGGTGGGTCCAACTTGCTATATTACTCGCTCTCAGTGCAAACCGAGTGTGCTTGATCGTCAGGTCGTGAGTGGTACACAGTGAGAGCAACCTGTCACCGTTCGCATTCCCTGAACTAATGCCAAGCTGACCGATAACATCTGTTTACACCGATGAATCACGCCCAACGCGAGCGTTGAAATCACCCGGCAGAAATAGTCGGTCGCTCGTGGGCACGGGTCGTATCACGGAGGATAGCTGAGTGTAGAATTGTTCATGCGTGTCATCAGGGTACCACATGGTCGGACCGTACGCGCTTAATAAAGTAGCAAACTTACCTCTTCCGAGTAGTAGGCGAAGAGTTATCACTCACGCGCTGATTCCGGTTGGTTCACCAACGAGCTGACCATGGAGACGAACGGACATTGCAAATCCGACGCCATGATCACGTGGTGCTGCGGCGGCGTTTCCCACCCAGTAGAATGTGTAGCCAGTAACTGCTTCATGCTACTTACCTTGCTCAGCGAGCCGGGTCTCACTGAGCGGCGCAATATCGATGTTGTACTGCGCCGATTCCATCGCGATCAGTACAGAGCGTCTCTCGGGGCGTTCACTCGAGTTCGGTCACAGTAGTGTGCGCACGTTCCAGCACCCGATGCTGAGTGGTTTTCGCGCAGGCATACGATTGCACTGGTGGGCAATCGCACGCAAGATGGCGGTTGTGCTTCGGAGATTTGCTTGTGGGACTCCATCCGAATCCTTTGGCTCAATAGCCAGACCCCTAAGGCAGTGGATGGTTTGGAGGTTTGTTTGAGGGACTCGGCCCGGAGTCTTTGGCTCTGTAACCTGACCCACAAGTCACTCGGGAGCAGATCTAACTCGGGAATGTGATGGCAGAGACAGATTTGGATCTACTGAGGTCTGTCACCCACTACGTTTGAGGTTGTGGAGCGATTCATATATATTATGCGACCGTAGTAGGATACGTCTGCGACCACGGCCTAACGTAGGAAGGTTTTGGTGGTTTTGCACCAATTTGGCCAGAGGCTGCCTAGCGGGCA